CACCTTTATCGTACGAGTAATCGTCAAATTAAATGTCCTTCCGGCTATATATATATACACCAACATTATGCATTATACATATTATAATATATACAGTTTACGTTGTATAACTATACCTATATATATATAATATATATATAAATAATACATATTATATACCGCGGTAACGAATGATCCTTAGAGAGAGAAAAGATAGGTACATATACATACTTTTTCTTTCGTCAATCTTCTCTCACGCGTATACCTACATATGTATACTTTTATTCGTGCATTATTATAATATATTTATGTATCGTATTAGGTACATTCGAAAATCTATTGGCGCGTGCACAATGACGACTGGGTGTTTATGCGCTGGATAAATTATCGCTGCAGACGCGATAGGGTCCGCCTCCTCTGGCATATCGATCGGAGACCAGCTATTATAATGTACACAAATATTATATTATAATATTATATACGTTAGTATGCGGCCGCCCCCGCGGCGCGTTTCGCACTGCAGCGGGTACCTCTGTATAGGTATATTATAACAATCGACGACGAGAAACTGCGGCCGTGTCAGTATAATAACATTGTATAGGTGTACGTACACGTACGTACGCACATTCATTACGTATACACGACGACAATATTGACCGATCGGTATATACAGAGTGGTATATATACGCGGCCTACAGGGTATATATTGTATAGCGAGGTATAGTTCGCGACGACGCACCGGAGACGGACGAGATCCACATTCCCCGAGTGTCAATCACGGCCGTTGAATATATATACACATATATACCCACACACACACACACACACACACACACACACACACACACACACACATACCTATAATAAATAACGGCCGTCCTGATGGCAATTTTTTCTATTTCTTATTTTTTTATTTTTTTATTTTTTTTACTTTGCTTTCCTTCTTCTTCGAAACGTTTAATTCGGTTCCTTCCTCCCGCGCCCCGCGCGTTTCCCGTCTGACGTTCCGTCTGCGGCGACGACGTCCCCCCACGGTCGCCACTCTCCCATTGTCGTCGTATGTACACACAATAAAAATACAGGATTCGGTCCGGGGATCGATCGATCGATCGATCGGCTTTTTCAACATCATCGGTAATCGTCGATGCGTCGTCGTCGTCGTCGTCGTCGTCCAGGGGCAGCAGACGGTCTTTGTTCTCGATCATTTTATATATTTTTTTTTGCTACTTGCTTTGCTCACTATACTCCTCTCTGTCTCGGTCTCGCGCGCGTACGTATTTTATTATGAGCGGTATTTTCAAGTGCAATTCCATTGTATGCGCAATTGGGTTTTATTATCACTTTTTTTTTCGTGCCGTGCACAGTGGCCGTCTCTGTTGTCGTTGTCGTCGTCGTCGTTGTTGTCGTCATTAGTCTTCGCGTCGAGTATGGTGGGGAAGGCGCATAATAATAATAGCAATAAAAAAAAAAAGAAAAAGACAAGTATAACAAAACAAAAAAAAAAAAATTGGAATAAAATAACAATTGTCGGTATCCACGAAATTTGTAAACAATACTCGAACCGCAATTGCAGCGAACGTCTGCGCGCGGGACCGATGTTTTTTCACCTGTGCCAACATACCCGGAATACCGCGCGTGTGGCTCCGGCGACCGTCCCGTCATTAATTAAAAGCACGCTTCTACAAAGTATTCGCGCAAAAATGTCTCGTATAGGTACAATTTTTTAAGCCAACGGTCATTACGTTTTATCGCATTGATTCCTGTGCAACACACGTGGTGCAATAGTTCGGTACATAGCGATTAGCGATACATATACATACTTACGCTCACACTCGCGCACATCATCTGTGTGTGTGTGTGCCTATATAATAATATATCATATATACATTTGTACTGGAAAAATAGACGGAGACGGATAGAGAGAGAGAGAGAGAGAGAGAGAATCGAGAAAAAAATTACGGACATTGGTATGCCTTAAATGGCAATGCTCAAATAACAGTGTTTATACTTTATATAAAGAACGCATACGGTCGGGTTTGACGGCGACGAGGCCTATATATAATAGTACGTGTACGCGGCGATTTCGTTTTTCGAAGTTTGGTACCGACCTGAATTTTGCATTTCCCATATATACCACGATATATACCATGAGAGTATGCGTGTATATATAATAAAAATATGTACATACATGTGTATTCTGCAGTCACGTGCGCCAAATTATTTTTGAGGGTATTTATTATATACCATATAAACATTGAAAACTATTACATTATTATAATTCATATACATATATATTATTAGTATGTACAAACTGGGTACCTTAGAGGTTTTGTTTATTGCTATGCGTACACTCATTACATTTGTAGTGCTGTAGGCATATACCAGCACCGCAATGTGTTTATTGTAAGTTTGTTATGTATTAAAATAGTGCTTAAAATTATCTTCACTATGTTCTCAACGTACAGTTGCAGTATATAGGTACTAATATTTATGTTCATATATATTTTCATAATACCTATATATAATTATTTACAGTGCTAGAGATGTTAAGACTCGTGTAATTGTAACGTAATTGTCCAATGATGGATTATGTGAAAATTGAAGAGATTTTTGACAACAAATCGTTTACATTCACACCCTAAACACTGGTCGAGCTACCTGGTGAAAAATTACTATCCATTATGACGGACGTCACTATAAATATAATTTAGTTTTTTTTCTGTTTAATGTTCATGAAAAGTTATTATGTCCAGCGAGCATAATGTAGCATGATATTAATTTGAATGTAATTATATGTTCATTTTACACCGAAAACAAAAGACTATTAGTCGTTTTATTAATGTAGGTATGTTCGTCCACAGTCATTATACTGTTAAATAGAACAGGATTTAGACTGGTTAATTTTTTTTTTTTTTGGTGTGAAGGCGGGGGGATTATTAATTATTATTATTATTTATTTTTTTAATACATCACTTACTAAACTGTTCACGTGCCCGCAAAATGATCATAATAAATAAATGACAACATTAAATTACAGTGCTAAGAGGTGTTTGTTCAATAATCGTTTGTACTGAACTAATTTGAATTTCACCTTACATAAAAATATGTTTAATAAATAGATACTTCTATAGTCCCTACTCTCCAGCTATAAAGTTAAATTGAAAAGAAAATCAACCGCGTGCATTAAAATATATGTACTTAATTTAAATCACACCGAGAACACTAAAATGGTAAACTTTTGATAGTTGAATATCAGAATACGTACCTAATATATATAATCCTAAAGTAAAACAATAATTGTATTTTAAATGTTTGTAAAATAATATCTTCTTTTTTTACTTATAGCTTTAGCTACACATATATTTATAACGCAGTTTAGGTAAGGTGAAGTATTATGAGTTAAATACGTTTTGAGATAATACGGTAATATTTTTAAATTATTTTATGATATTAATATATGTTTTTGATTTTATATTTTCATTGTTAGTGATTACATGTTTACCTTATTTATCCTATTGAGTACCTACTTAGGCTTTATAAAATACGTAATTATTAACTATTACGACATCAAGATTGCTTGTATGAATGTATACGATTTAAAAGTCGTGAGGTGAAACTATAGAAAGATCGAATATGATTACACAAAATTCCCTTTACCTATGTAGTTATTTTCTTTTTTTTTAATTGTTTTTACATTTGTTCATTCGCTGAATTATTTTTTCAACTGTAAATGATGAGTTAATTATATTCAGCAAAACTTTCAACGTATTTACGTGCAGTAAATAAAATCTGTGATTGTCCATTTACTTAACTCGTTTTCTGTAATTTTACTGTACAAGTTCAAATTTTTAGGAAGAGTAATGACTTGGAGTAAAACACTCGAGTATATTCATGTTTCTATAAATATATAATTACGAATCAAACTAAATGTAACAATAATCAAAATCAAAAGTCGAAAAATTCAATTTTGATTTCGAAATAAATAAGAATCATTATTTACGATTTCACTGTACGTGCATTTCATGTTTTTAACGAATGTCGATGACAAGCTATGTAATTCCATACATAAATTTATTTTTTTGGACAGTCTGTTAAGCTGGGGACACTGCACTCGCTGCAGCGGTAATTTTAAGAATACGTGAACTGGTTTTCGACAACACTGACGCGTCGATCCCTTTTGGCGTATTTATAATGTTATATATTTCATGTTTATTGTAACTTGATTTACTGAACGTATTTTCTGTTTACCGCCGACCAATGATATCGACCAAGTAATGAATGAGCTCATATTTCGTATTTGTTATTCGTATATATTATATTATATATTCATAAAATATCTTTAATATCAGCTTCTAAGTTTAAATATTTGTTGTGTAAATAATTCGGTAACAGTGCGATCGAAGCTCTATTGACTGTTTTCATCCTACTCAGACTAATTCCCCGAAATAATTTGTTCTTAAATCAAACAATAAATCTGTACAAGATATCTTACAGGTTAGGTAATATAATATTATTTGGTACCCGTAATACAAAGACTGCATGGGGCGGCTATACATATATATTTTAATGTTACCGAAGTACCTACGACTTAACGGACGATAAACTGCGAAGACGGTTAACACTTACGGATATTAACGCTTCGTTCCTTGGCAAAATACTAAGGTCTTCTCAACGCTTTTGGTATTTTAAAGTTCCTATCCGAATCCCAGTTATGCATCGAACTATATAATATACAGGTAAGTGGTACTATATTGAATCGATTTCGTTTATGCGCACGAATTTGCTGCTAGCCATTGCTTTTCGTACACCTATATTATGTCGAATGACGACAGGCTTATAGACGTATTGCCCCGTGGACGATCGCGCGCTCGATATATCGTATTATACCTAGTACTAGTTTATCGTCGAAATATTATTGTGATACGGATGTCATCATCCGTATTGAGCGCGTTGGAAGTATAAAAAATAATAATACATGGTGAAAAAACAATATTGTAAAAACGTGTTCTGTTTGATTCCAGGAAACCGACGGGATGAGTTCTAGAGCGTCGGACAGCGGCGCAGAGTCTAGCGGATCGGAATCACCGCCCCCCGCAACAGCCGGTCCAGCCACGCGGTCACCACCGTCGCCGTCGCCGCCGACGTCCTCCTCGGCAGCAGCAGCAGCAGCAGCAGCAGCAGCCGCCGCGTCTCCCGGTAAGTACCTATATACGCGTAGACAACGGGTTCTATTATTATTATTATTATTATTATTATCATTATTGTTGTTCTCTTCGTCGATTTTTTTTTCTTTCGTCCTCTCCCTATCCCTCTCGATCACTCCGTCTCTGTCTGCCGTCTTGCGTGTACGTCCGTTCCCGCGCACGTTTCGTATCATTATCGGTTCCGGACCGGATCCTTTTACGGAGGGCCGTCCGCGACGACGCGAAAATAATAACGAAAGAAAAAACGAGACGAAGAAGAATAATATTGTCGTGGAAATAAAAAAAACTAAATCGGCGGCAGTGTCTAGCGCGCGCTGCAGTTGTTGTACAGCGAGGTATATTATTGTATACGACGTACGTTTGTTGAATAAAATGCACTTCACTACAGCTAGACCGCGTGGCATCTTCCGTTCTCGTTTAGTCGTTTGTCACGTCGTCGCCGTCTCTCTCTCTCTCTCTCTCTCTCTCTCTCTCTCGGGGGGAAACTTACACCACCACCGCCGCCTCCGAGACAGGAAGTGTACCGGAAACGGTCACCGCCGCTATCGTTGCTCGGAGTTACAATATCCTATTCGCGGTAACGTGTTCGAGTATTTTTCACACGTTTCCGTAAAGAGAGTTCTACACGGCCACTGCAAAACATGATGAAAAAAGTGACCAAATATACGGAAAAATAATCTAGGTGACACGCTTGACGCTTATATCATACAATTATGTAGACATTCAATTAAGGTATTAGAATAAATTATATTATGTTTAATGTTGTATGTAATAAGTAATAACATATTATTATATGTCCCATTCGAGTATTATAATTTATAATAACCACATGGACATGGCTTAATAATAAATTGTATTCCAATCTTAAATTTTAAATTTTAACTTGTGTCATCGAGGATTCCGGATTAGCTACCGCGTAACCATTAAAATCTTTGTGAATTTTTTTTTAAAATTTAAATATCACCAGTGCTCAGTCATAAAAATTAAATACCACTATGTATTAGTGTACATTATTATATGTATTGTTACTTGTCAACCTTCGTTCTATTAAAAAATCAGTTATTTATTGTTTATATTTCAAATAACTGGCATACCTTAAGTCTCTACCTTTTTGTTTATGTAGGCTCTTGAAACGTGGTCATATGCCGTTTTTTCGCTATCTGAGTTCAATATTTTATCGTCGTTTTAACATGTACACTAATTGATAACCACAAACGTTGTTATTCAGTCGATGAAACATAATATTGTGTTTATCATAATTAATTCTGTATTATTAGCATTACATTATTATTTATTACTATTATATTATATATTATGACGACGGCGATTTCGATAGGCAAACTAAAGGCACGTTAAACGGGCACACGCGGACAAGTGCAGCAATGCCGCGTGAACGTGCGCGTCTGATGAATTTACGTATAGTAAGTCTCTTTGGTTTACGAACGTAAAACCGTGGCCACCACCTGCTGCTCGTCGATATATTGGTTAAGTCATTATTGTTACGCCACAAATTAGCCTAATCATCGGCACCGCATTGTGTGCGTACGCTGTCGGTTTTGGTAATGTTTGGTTAATCTGTCTTCCGTCTCCTCTCTCTCGATCTCGAACGTACGCGTGTACCCACATCGTGTGCGTCCCGTGCTTTTCGACGTAACTTCTCCTATACTTTTTCTTCTTGTTATTTCTCCGACGGTACATTCCACGATGACTGGGCGGTGATTTTCCATTGGATAACGCGTGACAATATAACAATATTATGGGTATATTGTCAACGTCGACACGGTGGTGGTCGCGGTGATGGTTATTTTCTGATCATCCTTGAACTTTATACCTCGGGGCCTCGAATCCATCTGAATCTGCATGAATATTATATTTTAACCTAGGGAACTGTAGTTTGGGAGAAAACCACGGCTTCGCTATTTCTCATAAATGTTTCCATATAATTCAAACACCGGTCACATAACGTCAATTCGACAAACGTGTTGTCGAATAGTCTATACTGTAGTAGTGTAGTTATATGCGAACCGAAAATAAAACGCATATGCATAAACATTCCATTTTTAAATGATACACGTCGGTAAACATTTAACAGTGAATTTTGGTATAAGTTGACGGCATTTATTTTATTTCTACGAATATAGTCGTACAGAGGACAAGCACTAAATGTCAATTTAGAATAGACGAATAGTAATAAATTAATAATAATTATCAGAAAAGAATAATAAACTGGAATAAATTGTGACTCATGCGCATGTATATTGTATGCTCGCTAGAATAATGAATCCATTTAAATGTCTATGCCTATTGCCTACCAATTATTTTGAAAACTTTCATTTTTGAAAATATTATTTTTCATAATTTGATGTCATTGCAAAACAACAGTTTTGATACAATTTTTATCGTTATTACTTTTTATTCAAGTGTTTACTTTTGATATAACCATACATTTTTTAATTCATATTTTGAAGACGAATATTTTTCACAGCAATTACTTCGTTACATAAAAAAACGAATATCAAACAAGAAATTCATTGAATATAACTTCAAATACTATTTAATTTTAAAAATGTAGCAATGTATAGTAATACTACTAATAATATACAGATTGATCTATTTGAGTGTCTGCACTAATTATTTCAAAAAGTTTTACTTTTTATAGCAAAAACATTTTTGTAATGACATTACATCATGTAGAAAATATATTTTTGAAATGATTAGTGCACTCAAATAGATCTCTCTGTATAATGTTTGTTGCGCAATACACTGCGATAAAGTTCTAAAAAAGACAATGCCAGCTGCAGTATTTTCATTAACTTTAAGTAATACACATCGCAATTTCTATTTTTATTTCGAACTAAATTAGAAACTATTTGTAGCACCTATATTATTTACATATTTACACTGAAAACGTACACATAACATTAAACAGTCATTCTAATCGTTACATAAATAATGTAGAGATTACACAAGAATACCTAATGTAATCTCTACTATATAGTTTGTGAGGTAAAATTTGAATGACCGTGTAGAACTTAAATGTGATATTATGTATAATTTATTACTATTATTATTATTATTTTATCTTTACGTTCATGTGTGAGGTGCGTCCGCCGTGCTAAGTATATTATATAGGTATGTACCTACTCAATGGCCAACAGCAATGTTATGTGGTTATATTGTGTTGCCATCGTCGTCGACAACGACGTCGACGAAGTGTCAAGTACTTCGTGACAAAGAGAATTTAACGTGTCATTTAGGACGTATGTAATTGTTTGGATTTTCACCAGCAGGTACAATTGTCGCCCGTTCTCGCGTGCATGCGTATGTTTTTTTTTATTTCTAATCGGTCGTCGTATGTACACGTATAGAGCGTATATGCATATAAATAATAATAAAAAAAAATAAATGTGAAAATAAACAGACTTGATGATATTTTGGGAGGGGACGAATGAGTGTAAAGCAGAGAAATGCTTCTATATAAGACGCGTGCCAGCGTAAATATACGTATCCGAATCGCTTACGTCAATCATTATTATATTGGATACATTCCCGCAATCGGATGTGGAATGTGCTCTATTATTTTTATTCTAAATTACTGAATACCGCCCGACCACGGCGGTGATCATATTACTATTTATATCTTAACTGTTGAGCACTATATGGCATATTAATATAAATATTATAATACATAGGTACTACCGTATATAATACTGTGGTGATTAGTACGCCCGCGCACCTGTCTATATAAACAATATGGCAAGTAACCTGCTAACTTCGTGTTCCTGACTTCTTGCTCCTTTCCTTGGTTGCATCTTATTATAGCTTATGCTGTCTGGCACAATGAATCAACGATAATATTATTATCTAGTAACACGTTAAAAAAGTATACAATTTTTTATAAAAATTTATAAAAATTTATCTACACCAGGGATGGCGATCCTTTTTGTACCAGCGTGTCAAATAACAATTTTGGTTGGGCTTTGTTTTTCCTGCGTGTCAACTATAGTTCGATAACCCTTCAATTTTTTTTCAAAAACTTTAATATTATTAAACTTACACATTCGTGTGTGTCACTAAAACGCGTGTCATAGGTTCGCCATCTCTGATTATACCATAACAGGTACTGTTATATGTAGAATTGTAGATTAATATTATATGCAAAATTAAATTGAAAACAACACTACATTTTTCCTTTTTCCAACAATACAATGAAACGAATCTGTTTTTAAAGTAATGTAAATATTAAAATACCTACCTATGTTTTCAATGTCAGACTTGTGTTTTTCGTAAAATTAAAATTCATTAGGTGTAGAGCAAATACAAGAATTTTTAGTTCTATTATCGCCGTTCAATATGATTAATCAAAACGGATGGTATACTATTTTTACATTGAATACATCGTTTTCATATTCAATTAGACGTTTTAAAGTCGATAGTGGGTATGTGCGCGCTGATATTAATATAAATGATTCAACTTGAGAATTTTGACACTTAAGCTGTTCAGGTTACGCTTCTTGAATTATTCAACTTGTCATAGGAGATCACATGTTTACAAATTATTCTCATAATATTAAAATGTATATAATTGTACTTATTTGAAATCTTGATTGCTGACCGAAATCGTTGGCTATCTTTTTCTAGTTTATTCAATTTTTTTTATCTTAGGTAGTGAGTTATAATTATTATATATGGTTTCATTAAGTTTTAATTTTTAAGAGCAATAGTTATTAATGTTGGTCTTGATATTCCATTCAACACCTCTATATAGATTTAAAATTTGAATAAGTACACATTATATTTTAAAAGGTAATTCCTGAATTTTCCAGTAGCTTTCAGTATCAGCTAAAAAATAATATATTAACATTTTTGGATGGGAATCAATTTTTATATATTATAATAAATTTTTAGTTAAAAATCGTTATGATTAAACATAAAATAATAATAATTCACTTAAACAGTACAATTTTGAGATTTATTATGAGTGTTCAATGTACAAAGAGAGTTAGTTTTGTCTGGTTATATAATGTTATATACTTATATCTATTCAGTGTTTTGTATCTGAAACAATCGGAACCTGTAAAAACCATTTAATTGTTATCATTAAATAACTGAATGTGATATGTCTTCCTATTTTTATGGATTCAATTTTCTAAATACATCTTAGAAGAAATATATCCTATTAAAACTATGTATACGAATATTTATAGTATTAATAGTATTTTATATTGTTTAATTTCAATTTCCAATGTTCAACAATAAATTAATAATATGTTGTTATACAATTAATTGACATTCTCTGTTTTGTTCTCATTCACATTATTTTATTCTTTTAATTTGTCCCTAAACATTTAATATATTGATACAATACATTTTTGAATTTCAAATAGTTTTTTGCATGTGTAAATATAATTTTGTATATGTTGACCTATTTTTAAGTTCTGTACGGTGTTATTTTTAACCCAATTAACTGTTCAGCCATTTTTATTTTTTGATAATAATTTCTTATAAGTTATAAGTTAAAAAGATAGGTTGTGATTCGAATTTGTAGCTCATCCAGCAATTTTTTGATAAACTCAGTAAAAACATGATAATGCATAAATTCCCGGACCCTAGTTATAACAATATGCAGACTGCACCACCGTGTTTTTTCTCGTCAATTACTTGTTCCTAGTTCATTGTTTCAAATCAATATTTTTGTAAACATATTTTAATAATATAATTGAAAACATTTAATATGTTTTTAATATTTACTTAGTAATTATTTTTAAATTGTCTAACATTTTTGTATGGAAATTTAAAAAGTTCAAACTTACAAATACTTTGTTAAAAATTCTGCCAGGTACCTTTTAATAATATTATTAATAATAATAATAGTATGTGTCCAATTGTACCCATGCAGTACAAAAATAGGTCATCGATTGAAAGTTTCAAACCAAAATCGTAGGTATATACTTAGCTTCTGGACTAAAATTCAACACTGCCTACTATAATAATATTTAACGTACCTACATAATATTATTATATTATAATACTATAGATATCAAAAAATTCGATGTTCCGCCAAATGCCTCCAGAGTATAAAACGGTTATACAGCCTGGAATCGATATTATGTACGTGTGATATCTAATCTATTGTTTATTATTATATTCGTAAGCTATATACGCTTATACTATACTATAGTATCATCCTTAACACTCGCACACTCGAAAAAACGTTTCTAAAAAATATCTGCGCGCGCACGCACCGGGTAAATTGTTGCGATTGAGTCATTACGAAATACGGTTGTGTCGTCGTCGTCGTCATTATTTTTGTAGGTGAATCTATAATTTAAAATATAATACAATATGTATTTTTAAGTGCGGACTGCGGAAGTGGCCCCATCATTGATTTCCTGTCATACTGATGAATGAAGAGTGAATAGATGATTTTGCGAGTTCCTCAAACACATCGCGCATTGACAAGTAGCGTTGCGCTGCTATCGACGTTTAATACAACTAATATTGTTCGTCGTGTGTGTATACTATATGTCTATATAGTACTACCTTTAGTGCGTATATACTTACAGCAACGTCGATATGAGTACTGTCGAACGCGGTGGTTAGCTTATATTCTATTATTTTATATTAATCGAGCAGTAATTCTCTTCGGGTTTTTTTCCTGCCGCACACACGCGCGTAACGGTACATTTGTATTGTATTTGGTACTTTGGTAGGTACCTATATTATATATTGGTTCCCTCGTAATCATAATGCAACGGAATTATTTAACAAACAATGGTTCGTCATGAATTTTAAATTGTTATGTATCGTATTTGTACATTCGAATTATATCGTTAGCAGTATAGGTACACTGTGAGAAACGGCCGGAGGCGAAAAAAAATCCAATAAATTTAGAAACGAGTTTCGATCATTGGAAAAAAAAAATTTCTTGGAGTATATACACTCCAAACTTTGATGTTCTACCGCGAGATAATATTATGTAGAAGGTGTATGTCGTTATAATTTTTCTTCGTCCTACTCACAGGAGTCGGCGTTATATTATTATAGTATATATCAGTTGCAGGTATATGATAATACCACTCTTCGTCGTTGCGACTGAACTTTTACTGCGGAAAATTGTACATAATAATATAATATATGTAGTATCATTATTATTGTATATAGATACGTAATCTATATATATACATTTATGTATACCTACGTAATTTTATGTTACCTCGCGCATTAGCAATCGTTTTATGGTGGCAAGCGGATACACTTGAACGGGTCGGCCTAATAAAATATTTAACGTGCGCGTACGACGAATAATATTCTTTAAACTGCGTTTTATTTACATTGCTCTGTCGACCGCAATATGCATTAAATCTCATAAAATATTCAACGGGTTCTCGTTTGCAGTGTACCTATATAATGATACATATGCATTGTACAGTACACAATACTTATGTTATAACGCTATTGTTGATGGGTTGTGATTTGAATGATCATAGACGGATCGTATATATATATAGGTACGATATGCATATGATATACCTAGCTGTATACCTATACATTATACATCGGTGTGTGGCGTCTGAAATGTATTTTTATTGCCAATTATTACTACAAGCAGATGTACTTTTTTTAAAGTTTTATTGCTACGGTGCCTATGCTATAAGTGCATACATTACATTTCTATTTTTTTCTTGCCCAAATCGTTTTTAGATTCTTCTCATCGGCTGTGTTTACGCGTATGTCGTTTTTATATTAACACATCGAGTGTAAGAACTGAACACACGACTCACACGACGGCAGTAAAATTAATCCGAAAAAACTTATATTATATCGTCCGTATATGACTGCAGACTATATTATAGCCGCCTGCACTTGGTACGCACATACAGGCGAACTGCTCTGTGTATCTATCGTGTAAAAATGGCAAAAATTATAAATTAGAGGCAAACTCAATTTTCGAACTAGTAGACGATTATTAATTGCAAGAATTTAAAGTTTAGTTAAGCGGGTAGTAGTGGACGGACATTTTGCTGGGTTTTATATATTGATTTTCATGAAATTTCAACCAACGGTTAACTATTATCAGTTTATCATTATTAATATCTTTCTAATTAACTATCAGGTAAAATAAATAAATAAGTGACCAATTGAGTAAACTTTTCTCTGACGTGAAGTCTCTCTAGTAAAGTATGATCAATATATTGCATCATATTATGTTTCTTAACGTTTCAAGTTTTCAATGCTGAATAGATTAAAATGTTTTATCTTTTAACGTGGTCAACGAGAGGGGGGCTAGAACTGTTTTAGTTGTTCAGAAATGTTGTGTTGTCGAAAGAAATTTATGTTTTTTTTCTCATCGTTGCAGGGATTTTCAGATTGACGTCGAGTAACGCGGAGTTGGTGTACTCGAACCTAGCAGCCATGGTCAATTCGTCCGGCGCTTCCGGTCCACAGCAACAGGCGGCCGTACTGTTCCGGTTGGGGCAGCTAGGTCGGCAGCTCCAGGCGTCCGGACAACAACCGTTCATACTACCGATGCCGAATCCGCCAGCGGCTCACCAGACGCCCGCCGATCTCAGCAGCAAATCGTCGCGGAACAAATCGGAACTCTGAAGTCCTTTTGCATGGTGCCGGCGTCCATGTAAAGTCCAAAGTACATGAAATATAATATATTGATATGCAAAATATAAACATGATGTGCACGCCCGCCGATAGTGTCTTACATATTATAATGTTTTTTTAATTATTATTGCAATATGTTGTATGGATTTTCCACACACTATTTCGACGTTGATCCTTTTTCGCGTATGTGTATATCTTTGTATATTACATGTAAATAACGCCACTTAAGAACTTATATTACTGTGCAATGTTTACGAACTTTTCCTTTGGTTTCCGGTCTGTGTATGCAATTATTCATATCGTGGGGTTTCAACTATCGTTCCAAATGTCTGGAACAGTGGAGGGAGAATGCAGCAATCGTATACGCAGTACCTATAATATAATGATATGCTCACGTCTCACATAATATAAGTCATACCGTTTTGCAGAGGCCATGGAAAATTGCCTAAAAGAACCCCAATTATAAGCATCATCTAATTCTTATCACAAAATGTCAGCGTAAAGCGTATGTGGACGTGTTACAGCATTTTATACATAAATATTACCTAATAATTAATATATAAAGTATAATTTACGAATGTTCATATTTTATCTATTAAATTTAATATCATATTATTATAAAAAAATTAATTTCTTCGACCAAAAATCGTAAAATAACACTCTTTTAGTCTGCAACTTAATTTAAAAAATATATATATACAATGTTATATTATATATAAAATATAAATACAATATACCAAAATTATAAATACTAATTTTACATTATTATGTACAGTCATACACTGCGTATACAATTTGCAGGCTGCATGTAATTGTGTATGTGCGTTCATTTTAAAGTTGTCATTTAGAATTAATCGGTTTTTTCAATTGTTTCTTGACCCCCGATATGACGTAATATCTCGCGTAAAAACTGACCAATAATTTTTCACGTATATATTGGCGATGATGTTATCCATATGATTATTAAAAAAATTCGATTTTTAATTTTGTTTTGCTTATTAAAATAAATCATATGATTTGTTTTAATTCATACGAATTACATTATATTAATATTATGTTTATTTATAACCTTTTTTTGATCCATTTTGGTCTTATATCTGCTATTTTCTAATACATACCTATAGTTTGGCAATAAATCATTTTAAAATATTTTTTAACATATTTTCACTCACATATTTCAAAATGAAATTATCGTACCAGCTTTCACTACAGTGAAATATCAATTAAAAAATTGTATCCAATGAATATTTTAATGTAACAAATCAAAATATTTTTCGTAAATATATCATTACGCATCTATTTTGATTTGTTATATATTCGTTCCCTATAAACTCAGTACTTTAGTCTACTTAAATCTTGATCGATTATAAACGATGAAACAGTAACACATAGTAATGTCTAGAGTTAAATTGGACCAATTTCACCTTATTCTACGTCATAACATCAAATCCAGTGTCTGACTAAAATTACGCTATTGTTGTAACGTAATTGATCTATAAAATAAAATCTATTTTGATTTGTAACAATCTGGAAAGAAAATTTAATATTCCATATTATAACCGACACTTATAAGTTGTTCCTTTTTATCTACCTCTTCCACCTGCCTTTCATAAAATTTGTTATTATTATAACTACATATAATTTATTTATCTTATTATTGTAATTTTTTGTTCATTTATACAAAATCTCAACCGACCAAATATATATAGGTATAAATAATATATGTATATATTTTTTAAATAATAATAATATTTATGTTAAACATATATATAATAAGTACCTACTTATTAATTTTCGACTGTATTAAAATGCCTTAGTCATACACTGTAAATATTGTTATTAATTATTAACAATAATTTTTATAAGAATTTAATCGAGTCGATTGTATAATACTAAAATATTATACGAGTAATTTACCATAATTTGAAAAAAGAATATGTGTAAAATGTAAATCGACTTAAACTAATATTATTTTGAGTTTTTTTTTACAATAGATTTGTCCACAGACTGATTATTTTTGTACCTAATTAACAATAATTTTAACATTTTGAACTGACATTAATAATTTTGACTTTGATTTCTACATAATATTTTTATGACGCAGAAAAATAGTTTATTCGTTCGATTTATTATATTCGCTCTAATATGATCCTTTTTACTCGTGTCATAACCATCACAAGAACAAGTAATACTAGTAGTACCTACCTACACAATGTTCTGAAACAAGCATGAAACGTGAACAATTTGTCAATCATATTACGCAATCAATTAAGGGGGAAAACGGAAAAGTTTGTATTTAACATTTTCATAGATTTATGATATAAACAGGAAAATATTATTCAATATTCTATTTCAGTACTAGATCGTATGTTCATATATAGCGATTACAAAATTTAAAGGCATGTAAATATATTGTTAAGTGACAAAATAATATTAATATATTTCTCGCATGTCATAAATATTCATACACTCAAGCCCGAGTGTTGTCTTATTATTATACGATTCATCAAATGACTGGACGTCTGCACTTATTATCAAAGACGACCTATCCTTGCTCTAGTTTATTGTTTCGATAATTACGTTCTTATAGCATCATGAATATGTTGGTTTTAGAAGGATTGTACAACTTTTATTGCCAGCAAAGTTTAGTCGCGTCAGAAAAACGTATGTGTATAAGTTTTACTTCCCTTTCAAACCACATTAAAATTTTAAAATAATTAAACAACCCAAACAATAGGTAAATAAAATACATTTTTAAAAACGACATAAATTAGTGAACTACGATGAAATAATATGATTCTATACACGAAATTAGGTACCTATAAAATACATCATTAGAATTTGACTTTTGGCTAACATTTTTCTTTTCTTTTTTTAAAATCAAAATTATTAATATAATTTAATTGTTACACATATACCTATTTGTTTATCAATAAAATCTTATTTTACAAGAATTGTCTTCGTTTTTTTTTTATTTTATGAAGAATAAACCTAATAAATATAAATAAGTTTATCACTTTTATTATATACATGGCTGTATCGTCTTGAATGATAGTCCAGCAGAGCATGCCAATTCCACAGGTATAGTAGATGTTAGAGTTGGATTCATAACATGTATAAGTAATGTATATTAGCTACTAAGTTTTTTTTACTCGCAAAAATAATTGTAAAATCGACCGATATTATTGAAAAAGCCACATCCGTTCGCAAATTGTTTGTACACAATTGTATAATATACAATTTACATTATTTAAAATGATATTAAATAACAAGAGCAGATCAACAATGGGGCATTGACGTAGGTATTGTATCACATTAATATAATATAATAATACGACGTTCACGCTATAGACAAATTTAGTATTAAGTATAATATATATACCGGTGGACGGTTGGACACTGAGCACAACAACTCGAAAAATCTTGACTTTTGTAAATTTCACCAATTTAAAGGTTCAATTTAAAAATATGAATTTCTAAATAATATAAATTTAAGCAAAGTCGAAATAGAAAACAAATATATTACTAAAACGAATAGTGCATGTGCGCGTGTGTACCGTACTTATTTATAAATTCATAAATTCTACATATTCGGTTTTATGAGAAACATCAACACCACACTACCAAGTTATACGTACTTATAATATTTTATAAAATATAGGATCAACACGACGATACCCCATTATTGGCGCGTCTGCAGCTGTGTTGTATGTACAGTGTACACTATATCGGTGTCCGTGTACGGCACACAAACGAGTGTAGGTACAAGCAATCGATGTTTTTTTATCGGTATAATATTTTTATAGTTATAATAACATATTAACATAATATACTTACATTACATAGCCAGACGATTATCGTACACTATAATAACAACAGCAACAATAACATCGAATATCGCCATATCAAAGTTTACCTCCTATATATATATATTTATTGATCGAATGGCCGTAATTATAATAATATCGTTATTATCGTTACCAATATTATCTTGACAGATTATAATAATATATTACCATAAGTTGTAACACAAAATAAACGACACCACGCGAATTTTTGTCCGACAGTGTTATTATGTTATATGCGTAGAGTTCAAACGATAATATTTCATAATCGACAAAAATCTCGTCGACTAATATCTCTCTAATACCTACCTGTGAATCGTATCTAAATAATAGCTAATAAATAAATACATACATTTACATAGTTCATACATTTTTTTTTTAAATTTTTTATTAGAGAATATAGTACAATCTATACATAAAAGCATAGTAAGAATATGTGCTACAATACATTTAGAAACATGAATAGGGTGAGGGAAGGAACCATCCAGTGATCACACTTTTTTTTCTTTAATCATTAAGAAGATCTCTGCACCAATTTATTTTTAGTCGCCGTGGTGGATTCCCTGGAATCGTGTGAGTGGCCAGACCGGATATTAGGGGGTTGGGGTGAGAAGGCAATTTGTTGAAGTTCATACATTTCACAATTATTAAATTGTCGTATGACTCGTATGTGTACCTATACGTAATCGGACGTGTCTTAATTTTTTAAAACCCCCAGAACGATATGTAGAATACAAATATCTGGACGATGCAGACAACGATGGTGTCGAAATGGTCCATCAGTAGTGGGTGACTGGTGTAGAGGTCTGCACCATCAATGGCCGTTGGTCGGCGGTCGTACAAGGTATATTTATTCAAAAGCCACTCTCGAATGCCAATCAAATTTCAACAACAACAGAAATTACTGTACGATAAAAAGGCTTTTTAAAAAATACACCAATGTGTATCACATTGTATACATATTATACTTTATTACTCGACGAGGTATATAAACTTAAACATAATAGGTATACAGGCATATATCATGTATTATAGAAACATTAAAACGAATATTATTACAATACAATCGATAAAACCTTCAAACATAATATAACAACAACAATTATGATTACAATAATAAAACGAATATGATATAATAATTAATACAAATCACAATTGCAGTTGATTTGGCAGACACTTGACGAGACTGCTGTAGAACAAGTTTGTTGACGCGCAGGGATAAACCATGTGGGGGACTTTCCTATATATATATATATATAATTAGTTTCTAATAAAAATATATGGGGAGAGGGTGTTTTTATCCCGCCTTAGACGTGTTCAGAGACACTTTATACGATGATAAATAATAACAAATAACACACGAAAACATTAAGTTTTGTGTTTTTTCAAAAAATTTAATTCGATCAAATATATTATAATTTAGTTAAAGTTGAAAACTGATAGATGTAAGATCAACGTTTTTTTCATTCGGGAATTTAATATTACATTTTTGAGGGGTCCGAAAAATGTGTCATACCTAATTTATGAAACAATCCAAAAAAATCCTAAAAACTATGTATTATGTATGGTTTACATGTATGCGTCGGGAATCCGAACTGTCTGGAAAACAACGAGCATTAATTTAGGTATTTTACTATTATAATAGAATATATTATATTATACTTGAGACTTCAGACGTCCCAGTATCTAACGGAAAGGCTAAAAGGAAGCATATTTCATTATTCCCCTTAATTTTATTTGTACACTCCGATCTCTATATTCTTATATAACAATAATAATATACAAAATGCAGCCATTAAAAGTGTGTAAAAATTAAAAAGTAAACGGCTATAATAAAATATCATGATATTAATAAAAATAATTATTATTATTATATACGTATATAATATATATATATACGTGAACAGTACGACAGTATCTTTTTGTCTAACACAGTATAATATTATTATGGACATATTTTATGGTATATAAATAATATTAAATAGGTATAATTATTATATATATATATATATTTTTTTTTTTAAGAATCTTCGTCGCCCACGTCGTCTGTATTCTCCACCAACGCTTCGTCGGCGTTCATCTTGTTGGCGCTGTTGTATCTCGGTCGCATCAGCGTCTTCGCCGACTCTATCCTCTGGCTTAAGATCTGTAAGAAATGTGATTTTTATTTTTTTGCACAAAATATTGTCACGGAAATCGATCGAACACCGTACGTGATCAAGATTTCACTGATGAAAAAGTCTATAATGTTGGGAAGTGTCAAAAGATACATCGCTTATAATATCATGTTTATAGTTTTGAAACCAATTGCAATTTATAAGACCTCTTTAATCGGCAGTTGCGCCATGTTATGTTGTATATATATATATGTATTATAAAATATTATTTTCAACCAAGTTGAAGAGCTCTGAGCCTCTGACATATATTAATATATTATTACTATTAAATGTATGTATAGGTACACAGTTCGATACCTATACGTAATTTGTAATTATAATTCAATTCATAACTCGTACCATTGATTGATGAAATTGCGTCACACGGAATACCTTTACGCATTTATTACACCTATCGATTATTCCGCGAGTGTCAATTAATAATTATTATCATTACGATTTACGGTTAATCGCTAGTTTGAAAATAAAAATATGAATTCGTCAACATTGAACGCACAATGTCCGTTCGCCGCATTACGATGCGTTATTATTACTTATCACGTTATTATAATATTATAATATTATTGTCGTAATAATATATAACGTAATGTCTGACGTCTGCTAAACGTTATTCGTGTGCAGTGTTCACTACAATGGTTAATAAAAAATAGTATAATAACACGTCAACGTAAGCCTTAATTATTTAATCTTAATTATTCAAATTTATTTAAGTTTAAATTCCTGGGAGATTTAAAATACCATACAAATACGGCTGTACATATTTTTTAGATAGACATTTTTTTAGCAAATGTTAAGATGGCTCATGACATCATCCAGCAGTATGTTACAATGGTTTTTAGAACGATTATGATACATTAAATATATATTATATTAGATATTAAGTTAATTCTAAATTCTAAGTAGATATTTGAGCATTTGTTAGTGCCGTTTGGATCTGGACTTAGCGCTACATCAAATTATTGAAAATTATAACAGATTATAGTGGTCATTTTTGATTTTCTCGATATTTTTCTTGCTCGTATTGTGAAATGCACGTATATGCAGACAGTCTGCAGACATAGAATATAACAAATAAACATTCAGAAGGTATGTTACTGAGTACCACTCAGAATCGGTTTTTTGAACGCGATAATTTATTTCATTTTTATTGTTTGTATAGTTTAACACAGGGTGTAGGATGTTTGAGCATCGCTATTGTTATAAGAACAATTTTAAAATTCTTAAAATAATATGTAATTATCGACTATTTTGACTAGACACTTCAGCTGGTCATTATTTACATGCATAAAAGAATTCCAAAATTATTTCCAAATCGAATTCTTTTTGATTCTGATGTATACTTCTATTACCCATGTTACCGGTGAACCTATTATCCGGTCGTGTCGCCAACCGTTAAAAAGTGCAATGCTCAAACGACCAATCGAAAATTCCACCCGGCAAGATTAATGATGCGCAAACGACAAAATCCGTTCACATCAGAATATTGTAGGTAGCACACATGATGGCTCACACTGCTATGGCCCACCCACTACTCAGTTGATTTTTTTTTAAATTTAGTACCTAAGTTTTTACGTTCTAATAGTTAATATTATTTTCCCATCAAGTAAACGTCTGTCATCATACTCATCAATATTTATTATTTATATACCGTATACCTTACAAATAATAATAGATTATTCCCCACAATTTATTGCGTAGCACAAAACCTAATTAATACTTGGTAATTACACTAAATAAACACAAAAAAATAAGGCGAATTCATGTAAGTCCTTGGTTCTGAAAATAAATTTTTTCCACGTAAGAATAGAATGCAATATTAATATTACAGCGATATTATAATTTATAACTAATTAAAACCAATTAATTATTTATTTCAATGATATTTAAAAAAAATTATTGTGGAAGGTTGATACGCATTTGATACTATACAGATACATTAACGAAATTCCATATAAATATTCACTAACTTGATAAATGCCATGAATTGCAATTTAACGTTTTATCTTAAAATATAGAATTTCCCCTTTTTCTTTTCTTTTTCAAAACTATATTTTCTAGGTTATGAAATTAAGATTAATTGATATACAAAGAATGGTAACTTTCAAGTTTTCAGATTAAAGACTGTAGAATGTAATCAAAAAGTTGTCTAGTGCCGAGGTGTTACATTTTTAAGGGTTTAGTGGAGGAGCGATTTAACAATATAAAAAAATCGAAAGTTAGAAATAACTAAAGTTTTGATGAGCAGAGTGACGTGACAAAAGAGTACCTGATCCGTTAAAAGTTGGTCTACTACCCTTATTCATCTAAAATTTAAATACTTTGAAGTTATGAATCATAATCAATCAACTCATTCAAAATTAAATTTATACAAATTTAAAATTTATTTTTTTGAATATTCTGCATCAAATATGAAAAAAAACGTACATAGTATCAATATAATATCAAAATAGTTAAAAACTTAAAAATGATAATGATAAAAATGGTAAAAATAATTTTCTTTCAAAAATGTCGTTTTGTAACAACTTGAAATTGTTTAAAAAAAAATATTTCCGAAAACGTTAATACTTTTAGAAATAACTAGTGTTTGCGTTTATAAGAATCGGCTTGTATTATTCATATTTATAAGTGTATTAATGTATCTATTGTATAAAAATATACAATATACTAGGTGGGCGTAATCGATATAGCAACGGAGTCTTCGCAAATAAAATTATGCCCTTATGTATTTTTAACACTGCAACCGCCGTTGACTATAATATTATTGATACCTAACAATGTAATATAGAATATGCACGTGAATCATGGTATAACAGTATAAGACATTAAAACATTCTTATTATTTACCAAATGTTTTTTTTTTTTAATTGGTTATAATATGTTATTTGTTTGGCGCAAGTCCAGAAGTGTATTTCGTAATATTTCGTCTGCAAAGTCAACAGCCTTTTACAACAACAAAAAAAAGCAACTATACCCTCTCCCATCATGGTGTATTGCCTTTCAGAATGTGACGCTCTTTATTTATCCGTTTTATTATTTACGTGTCTCTCTATAATTATATAATATGGAAAATGAGTGAATAAGTAATAACGTGGCGACCGATTCTAGTTTCGAATTAATCGCAGCAATACAACTGTCCTCCTTCCAACTACATATATGTATGAAACATATATATGATACTGTATGATGTATGATGTATGACATTAAATTATCATATATAATTTAATAAATTAGTAATATACCTAACAATAACAATAATGGTGATTAATTAAAAATATAAAAACTATTATTATTGTCACGTGAATATTATGATAGTATCTTATGGGCGTCACCTGTTGTCGTCTATTATCAGCGTCCGCCAGTTTCTCCAACAGCATCTCGTGGGTTAGCGGCGGTGATTGTTGTCCCTCCATCATTCTCAGTCTCTTCGGCGGATGTTTTTTTACGACACTCTGTTCCTCTTCGGTCAACGGAACGCTAAACGCTATAGCTGCTTGCACACACACACATACACACATGCGTAAGTTTAAACAAGTTAAATGAATAAACGTAAAGGTAATATGGAAACGGACAAGACCATAGAGTCTGAAGCTTGGACTACTAACAAACCAAAACCATAATAATATTTAGGTAATAAGATATTTTACAAATCGTTTTGATCGACTAAAATGTAATGCACGTGTACTTGATCATGTGCCAAGCGTTTGTTATATTGTATAGTGGTGCGCGTATAACGAGCTCAGCTGAGAAGTCGATATGAATAAATAAGCACACTGCAGAGAGTGACATTTTTAAGAGGATGTCAGCACACTACTTGTTTCCTCAACGCACAACATAGCAAATTTGCATTCAACAGAACCATTCCTCTCTTGTTTACCATTAAAACTAAAGAATTAGTTAACCAATTATTAAAACTTCAATGCAAGATTGGCGAGAATATTATTATCTATTAAGCACCTCATATGCTTTCAATAATATTTTCATTTCAAACTTAGTCATGATCGTTTGAAAACTGTTATATTTTAGTATATAACATAATTGTTATAATTCACTTTTAAATTAATATAAAAATAGTGGCTTTGGAAATATTCTTAAGAGAAGTAAAATAAATTTGGGACTAGCTCGCGTACATAAAGGAGCTGGACAGTTGTGAACTGTGTGAAATATTTACAAATCATTCCCGCAACAGTGAAAAGATCTAAACTATTCGTGCAACGGCAATGATTTATTATATTGGTAATATCATATACGATATTATAAACAGTAAAAAAAAAAATATGTTCAGTATGCTGTCTTTCTACATACGCAATAAATAATGCTATAATATCATTTTTTTGACGAATATAAAACGTGATTCTAACGTGATGGTATTTCCAATTTCATTTTGCTGAATTCCTCGTTCTGCATGGCAGGCATCGGCATCGTCGAACCACCGCACCCCATTTTATGTACGTAAATTGGTGGGCTTGTTTGTCTAGGAAAACGGTCTTGTAAAATATCAACTGTTCCGGTGTCCGGCAAGCAATTAGCTGACGACGGACGGTCGAAAAGTGGAAAAAAACACCAACGATAAAAATACCGCACACCTAAAGGCCGACGACGGTTCGTGAATGTATAATCGAGTTCGGTGCTTTTCGCGAGCTGTACTAACCACCGGCGGGCCCGAGTGTTCGAATATAAAGCCTGCGAGCACGTGGTGTCGGGAAGGGAAGTCGGGACAGGCGCGTGGCCGCCCGTACCCTTCGCCCAAAGGTTACGGCCGAAAACCGCGCAAACGCCCTCCGCGACGGTCATATTATAATATGTCATTTTCGTTTTTATGTTTAGTATTTTCCCATTACTTCTTGTTTCGTTCTCTACAATTAACGCGAACTTGTGTCGACGACCCCCGTCACAAGGACGAGTGTAACTGTAGCCTGAGTGCAACGGTCTATGGGGTAAATGACTGCATATGAATTACGAACCGAGTCCCGTGCAACTTTTTAGAACGAATTGAGTCCTGGGTAATGGGTTGTTTTAGTAAACTAATTTCGAGTCCTTGTTTTAATACTAACTGAGTACCGTCAGACTTAAAAAAAATATCTTTCGTTCTCAGTCATACAGACTCGAGACTTTGTTTTTTTTTTTATTTGTACATTACAATTTACAATCTGTTACAAACTAGAACTATAAGTAAAATATATGGATGAATTTATGGCTTAAAAAAAAGGATAGATTAAAGAATGATACAGTATTATAACATAGTACCTATTATAAGGTTATAATAAGCAAATGAATATAAAATTATCGAAAACACAGAAATTATCTGTTATTTTAAATAGACATTTTCAAATATTTAAGAGTTGCAAATTAAATGCGAATTAACAGTCTGGGTACCCCAGGAAAACAATCGTAGGTATACAAGCCAAATATCAATGTTTAGTTGGTATTCATCATCCTAAAGTTGCGTGGACTGTGTGCGATGGGTGTAATGAAGAAACAGCGTAATTAAATAATTTTCTTTACTGCAGATGGAGTCATGGAGAAAAGTTTCAGCTCCATTTCCATTTCCAACAAAATTATCATACTAAACAATAACATATTCGGCGATGAATTTTAAGTTTAAATTTCACTAAAACCAAATAATGACAATTTTATTATTTTAGATTCTGAGTAGAGCGATGAATGTATTGATTTTACAATGACGTGTATTTGAGGGTGGTTCGTGGAAGCAAATTTGAGCTAGTTGGTACTTTTGGGAGGTCAAAAGTTCAAATCCTCAGTGGAGAATAAACTCTGACAAGCGAAAATTGGAAAGCTCGACGTTGCACCCAATAGAGTTAAAGCCTTAAAGGGAGTCGCCAATAGTGCGCAGGGAGACAATTGTTTTGCTCGACTTTCATGATTATTTTATTGTTTTAAAATAGAACTATACAGTCGATTTTAAAAATAGTACTATAAGCACTTCTGGGAAAGTAGAAGAGCTATAATATTATCAAGATGGGTTAGATATCTCTATACATACCAATTCCCGGCATGCAGATATGATGCGAGGACCTACATAATATATACTCAATAAAATAAATAAAACTTAATATTTATAAAGCCCAAAAATGTATGATTGTATCCGTATTATCTATCCGTTGGATGCATGGAATAGACCGATATGCGTATAGGCACAATGGTACATTTTATATAGGTAATAATATTAATAAGTAATTAAACCAACTCAGCCATAACTAGCGGAGGTACGCCACTTTTACTTAAAAGTATACTAAACTCGAATATCGATAATATACTAAATACCGATGATGACATTGCTTATTTTGTATTGAAGGTTTCATATTTTAATTCATCGCAATTGATAGTATTAATATGTATTAAAAGCCATTGAATCGAGACGTATTATATATTGTTTGACGGGGAACGTCGACGGTTCGGTGAAGGGATGGCGACTAGCCTCACGAGCCCCCTGGACCCGCCACTGGCCTGGAGACGTTAACGCCGCCGACCGGCCGGTGTCTTGCGGATTTTTTCGGCGAACACGTCATATTGTAATATTATAATGCGCGTCTCGTGCATTCGACCATCGTCATTATTTTACACGTACCTGCGAGTGTACGACAGCCGGACAGCACACTGTCATGACGTAGGGGCCGGATCTCGTGTGGTCCGTACGACAATGTCGCAACTATAATATGTACAGCATGCGCGTGTAATATGTACAAGTGCACGCGGTCGGGCCGCCGAGGGAGAGACGCACGACTCGCATCACAGACCGCGCCGGCATTACTCGTATATTATATATTTTATATATTATGTTTAAAACGAAATCCTTTTTCCGCTATTAATCTCTCGCTTTCTTCTAGCTCGTGACGTAGGCATACATACGCGCACGCACGCACGCACACACACACACACACACACACACACACACACACACACACACAC